CCCCATTCTAATTTTTCACTTCATTGGATTACAGTTGCTGTTCTTGGTGGGACATGAGGTTTCACACCCTGTATAGGAGACCTGGTCATCTCCCCATTTCTGTGTAAACCAGAATCTCCAGCCCTCCCACTGTCTCATTGATTCCAAATGCTATTTGAAACCGTATGTATACTTTATGATAAAGAGCACAAATCTAAGAGATGGAGAAGCTCAGGGTTAGTTTGAAAGGCTGGAAAGCCCAGCTTTGAGGAAGGAGTGGGAAAAGGGGGAAAATTGAAGTACTTTGTGCTATGCAATGCTCTTCCTAGGAATTCGGGAGTGTTTGTGTTCTGGGCAGGTAGTTTATGGAAAGAGCAGTGGACTCAGAGTCATCAGGACAGGTTTCAATTGTGTCAGTGCTACTTATGAGTCAAGTTGACTTAGGAAAGTTATGTATCTCTCAGTTTTTTTGTTTGTTTTTCTTTTAGAAACTGGAAGCCTATATCCTTTCTTAAAAGTTATCCGACACGAAGTTGTCAAACGTGAGGCGGCCTGGGGGAAGTCGCTTTCATTCTCTTCGGCAGATACTTTATTTATTTTTCATCTTTCCTCAGATTACATGTAGGTTTTTGGTTGAAGCCGTGGAACAAATTTCATAACCAGGTTCAAACTTTCCTGCTGACCTAGCTGTGTGACTGTGGTCAGGTTAGTTTCATGTATCAGTTTCCTCAATCATAAAACTTGTGATAATACTGATATTTATATTCTAGGTTGTTGAGAAGATTCAAAGACATGACGTCTACTAAGTGCTTAGCAGAGGTCCCGGGGGATAGTATATGCTCAGTAAGTGGAAGCCATTATTATTGTTTTGATAGTTTTAAACACTAGTAGACTTAAAGCACACTAAATTTCAGATGGTGGCATGTCTCCTACTCACACATGAGCTATAGGGATGTTGGCAGATTTGGCAAATAAAAGCACAGGACACTCAATTAAATCTGAACCACCACATGATGCGTTCCTCCAGGGCTGGGATCCCAGCATCTCTCCATAGCATCAGGACTTAGCGCTCAAGGAACACACAGTGGTTGGGGAAAA